ACTTTATCTGGAGAAATTAATTTAAAGTGACAATATCATGTAAATTAAATTTTTGAGTTTTATATCATGTTATAATGTTATTCTCTCATCAAAAACATGCCCAGCATCTTGCTTTGACTCATTCATGAATGTTTGAGAAATCCTGTAGTGTCCTGAGGCAGCCAGGCAGGGGAGCAAAAACAACCGGTTGGGCCTAGAACCACCTTTTGGGACCAGCTCCTCCTCTGGGCTGTGTCTCCAAGCTGAGCTTCCTCATTACAGAGCACACACACCCACCTGCCCCGTGCTGAAATGGGTGGGACAGAAGCGGAAGGAGGTTCTTAAAGAGACAGAGGCCAGTTTCAAGGCGTTTAGAAACAGATATAATGAGGTCATGTTTATTTTCTATTTGAACATAAAAACAGCATTTTAATAAAAACTTAAGGTGACACAGTTACTTTTATTATGGTATAGAAATTAAATATATGCCCGAGAAACACATAACATTGCCCCTTTAAATATTTTGCCATGCATATGTAAAATTGTTTCCTTACATGTTTTGGTTATTTGACTTTTTTATTAGACATTTTTTGCACCTTCCATGATGTAAGTAAAGACTATTCAGGTTTTAGCAAAAAAAAAAAAAAAAAAAAAAAAGCTTTGACATGTAATGTGATTTTCAGGGTTTTGCTGTGTCCACAATACTGTATGTAAACTTAGCACAAAAAGTAAGGAAATTTGTGTTTGGTATGTGTAAAAGTGCTTCTTGGCAAAAAGTCTTAAATTTTTGGAAAGCCTGTTAATTTCGCTTTTAAATTGTGCTATATTTGTAAGGAACATGCATTGATGATGAGCCATAGATCTGTGGGTTTGCCAAATCTTCTCTGACAAACAGCTTATTTTGCTGCGACTTGTCTTGAGCTTCTGGTCTAGGTGCTGCCAATCAGGTGCCCAGCATTCGATTTATTGCTAAGAAGCATTGTTACAACAAAGGAATGATSGAGCATACACACCTTTCTTACTTTTTGTGCTGAGTATATTTAGTGTTATAATTTCATTTAGAATTTTTGCTTGTTCTGTTTTCGCATTAAAATTTGAAACAGATCAAGCAGGGCTTTGACTCCAGCTGTGCTCTGGAGGCAGAAGATGTCGAATCTAAAAGGTTCGCAGACCGGATCAGACCAGTTTTTGACTCTCTCTTTGTTTCCAGCCTTCATGAGGAATTCTCACCATGGGGAAATTTCATTCTCCTCCCACCACTTCCTCCCCTCTTTGCTCTGCTTCTGTTTCTTTTGCTGCAGCCTTGATGAGTTGGAGGCTTTTGAAGGGTTTCATCTCCCTTTACCTCTGCTGCTTCATTTCTTTTTCAAGCTTCTCTTCTCTTTATCACCATTTGACCCCCTTTTTTCTATGAACATTTCTTCAGTGTGGTTTTATGTTGTTTTTATTCTGCTGTCCGTCATTGGTTTGAAGATTTATCACTTCTAAAAGATTAAACAATATTAAGATCAAACATGAGTCGAGGCGAAGTGTTTCTTCCAGATCGGTTACAACTTTTAGAACTACTTTTTGTTTCTGCTTCCATTATTGCCTCCAAAGTACACCATGAGGAGGCAATAATGGGGAATGAGCCATCAGTCTTTCCGCCAGCTTCAATGAAGAACCGTGTATAACATGAATCTCACATTAACACAACAACATGTAACTCTGAGCTGTAACCTCCGTTTGTTTCTGATGATGTGAATTATTTAGGCCATGTAAAGTCAAAGAGGCACAATGCCGGCTGCACACAACACAGGGTTATGGTTTTGGGGTTTGGAGGCATCCACTGTATGTTTCTTTGTAAAACATRACAGTGCTGATACATTATCTGGATATGTGCAGGATATGAATTTCTGYAGCCTAACAGGAATTTATGAGTGTGTGTTGCTTTATTATGTGGAGCCAGAGAGGTGAAATGATATTTCTTCACGGGAAGTCAACAAAGTGGCACATTCATTACTCTAGCTTTGACTTTAGACTTCCATTCAATTTTTTATTTACTCCTATTTTTTACTGTTTTTCTAAAGCTATACATTTATAAGAAGTCAAAAAGGGCACCGATTGTGTTGTTTGTATGCTTGTTGTGTTGCTTTATCTTTTATTTTTTCCTCCAGCCCCATGTTTGGAATGAAAATCGTTTATATTGTGCTCCCACTTTGTTCTCCCGTTTCCCACTCCTGCTATCACAAGGTTGTTCCTCATTGTTGTCTAATTAGTTTTACAGTGTTCATTAGCAGATTTGGTTAGCTTATGGCACAGTTGCCCCAATCCCCCCGTATACACTGGTGTCTGTGTGATAAATCATCTGTCTGCCTGCGTTAATTAGCCTGACTCCTGATCTGTTTTATTTTGCCCTCAGTGTCTGGACAAGAGTCATGGTCTGCATCATTTAACCTACATAGTATTTGTCTTTTTGTCTCCTTTCAGGCCYATATACAGCAGGATAAATGATTTTTACACTCTCTATTGGAGTAATAAATGAATTTCAGTCTAATAATTCATCTTCATGATAACTACTTTAGCATGTCAGGCTAAATRTATTGCTCTTCTCAGGATTTTATTGCAGCCTACGTGAGGGGAGGAAAAAAAGGCATCTTCCTTTGGGTTTACCACATCTTTCTCTCTTTCCCAAGCAGCAGCAGTGATATTGGAAATTATTCAGCAATGGTGTGCGCGATTCCTGGTGGAGTACAGGAGGGGATGTTACTCCTCAGCAGCTGGGTGCCACTTACAAATAAAGTAAATTAGCTGTCACCAAGGCTCGGCTTGGGAGCTGCTGCTTTGCCTCGGAGAGTATCCATTTTCACCGGCTCTCTGTTTCAGCCGACGCAAGACAACAAGTCATTGCAGCTGCAAGAAATGAAGAAGCACAACACGATTTCAGTCAAATTGCTTCCTTTATCTGGGGATGAATTGCAGCTGTAGAAACGTTTGCGCAGATATACAGGAGAGTTAATCACCGTGCATTTCCAGCATGCGCTTCACAAAAATGAGAAGAAATAGACACTTGGTCTGATTCTTTACTTCCAAACCAGACAGCTGCCCTCTCATTATTTGCAGGCCAATATGTACTGTGGGGGTTTGAGTCATTACTCGCAGCAAAGCTGCAGGGACAGACTGGTGTAGTATCCAATAAAATCAGAGACTGGGCTGACTTGAAAGACTTTTACATCTCTAATTCATAGAGAAATACAAACAACTAACCGAAAAGAAAAAAAYAAGTAGGTCCTCTGATGGGTTCTTCTTTAGTAAAACGTTTCATCTCTCCTCCAAGAGACTTCTCCAGTCTGATGAGTTTCAGGTGAACTCAGCCTTATAAGCACTGCCTCCACATGGACAAACAGGTTAGTCACATGCAAAAGAAGGCCATCGCCTATAACAATAGGCTTGATTAGCTCTATTGTTCATAGAGGGTCATGTGCCCCATCATCTGACCCGTGTCGTGTTATGTGTATGTAGTGAATGCAGTCTAGGGCTCTATTGTTAGGCGATGGCTTCTTCTGCATGTGACTAACGTTTTTGTCCATGTGGAGGCAGTGCTCATAAGGCTGAGTTCACCTGGAACTCATCAGCCTGAGGAAGTCTCTTGGAGGAGAGATGAAATGTTTCACCAAAGAAGAACCCATCCAGAGGACCTACTTATTTTTTCTTTTTGATTTTTTTCTACCTGGATCACTGAGATGCATCAGGACACAAACAACTAACCAGATGATCAAACATTTACATTTTAAATTTAATACTAAATACCTGCTTCAGTTAGTTAGAATAAATTTTAACTTAGAATTTGTTGGACTTGTGTTTAAATTAGCTGAAACAAACACAGGGAATAAAACAAATTCCAAAGAGTGTAAAAACAAAGTTAACACTTAGGTTTAAGTGTTTGTACCAATGGGTCTCTGGTGACCCCTGGTGGTCACACTAAATAACACAAAGGACTAAAATCATTACAGGATGCACATTTTTTATTTGAGCAGTAAGAGAACAATACTGAGAGGAGATTAACTTAGACATATCTAAAATGCGTATACTTTGTATTTACAGCACATTATGCACATTACACAACTCTCAAAGACTCTCATTCACAGTACAACACCAAAAGATTACTGCACAATAATTAAAAAATGGGGTTCAATATAAAGCTAAAACACACAAGCATAAATAATCCAGTAAAAGTACCACAATGTGTACAAAAAGAATATTTGTTTTCTGTGGTTTAGGAGCTGTGTAGTGTTTCAAACTATAAATATTAACAATGCATTGGGAAAAAAGAATACAAAGCAACAACAGTTCTATGGATGTGAGTGGCCTGATTTTTATTCTGCTAATTAAAAAAGTGGCAAAATAAATTCACTTCTGATAACTCAACTGYCATATGCTTCCAGAAAATTGTTTTTTTTTTGCTTGCAGCATCTGTTTTATGTTTAACATAAATATTTAACTGATCAAGAATTGATCAAATGCACCCTGCTGTTCTTTCCAAAAATACTGTACTTCATTGAATTGATGATGGCTTATCTTTTAAAACTTTAATAGCAAACGCTATGGCTTCAAAAAGGGGAGAGGAAATGGGGGAGGGCCACCGTTGCAAGTGGTTTGCATTCTTTAGTAACAGTTTCCGAACGTTGAAGGATCTCAGTCCTTCAATTACAGCAACTTAACCGTTTTGCCATCTTCACACTGCAGAGTAATTTTGAAATATGTGTTGTTTTGCTTCATTTTGAACTGTAGTTGCTGACGACAAAACTATACACAARCACATTTTCAGAACCACATTCATGCTGATGCGCTCCTCAGCGTGTCCTTCTGTGTACCATCGACACTAAAACGCCTCGTTGGACCTGTGCGTTTTATCACATGATGTCAAACTGCCTCAGTTACGATATGCTGATATAAAAACCTTTAACTGTCTGTGACCAATAAATAAGATTTATATATATATATATA